TCCTATTCATATCTAAGATCAAAGTTCTGGAAGTTACAACAATAGCTGTTACGATTTAAAACGTTTAAATCAGTGTATCTAATGGATAAATTATTTTGATGTCTTTTTAACTAGATACTGATGCACAAATAAATGAAGACCCTAGTCGGTTATATCCATCCTTCAAGATGGATTAAATTAATCTATTAATTTCATTAAGACTGGTGCAGTCATCAAAACTGAACATTATAGTCCAAAAAAACTACACCAGAATTTACAAACTAAAAGGTATATGCAATCAAGAATCTAAGGAAGGTAATAAAAGGAATATATGAGTTGTGTTCAGCCTATTTCATTTAAGGTGATGAAGGACTGGCAGTTGAATTTTCCTACAATGAAATGAATAGAGCTGATGTTTTCATTTAAATACACAGTCTTGTTTTCCCAACAGTTGCTCTCATCCAGGGTGGACTACAGTTTCGACCTCGTCTAGGTCTATCGACATCCCTAACGGGAGTCTAAGCGTGACAGTGTAGTATGTGAGCTTGATACGTTAACCACTCAGCCACATTTCTACGAATGCCCTTTGGTCACAGAACAGATGTGAATTTCAAGGTTTTTCTCTATATCACATTCTGTGTTGGGATTGTCGATGAAACAAACTTGCTATAAATCGACATGTGGAAATGTAGAATAGTGGTCAACATATCGAGCTTAAACGCTGCACTGCCATGGTTCCCGCTTGGGGTGTTGATAAGACCTATGTGAGGTCGAAAATGCATTCTATCCTGGATGAAAACACCTTTTGGGAAAGCAAGGCTATGTGAAATTCAATGGAAATCTCAGCTCTACTCATATCAATTAACCACCAGTCCTTCAGCACCTTAAACGAGATAGAGTGAACATAACTCATATCTGATTTACTTGTAGTCACGAGAACCTACTTACTTACGAACAAAGGGATGACTAGTCAGTTATATATATGAAGACAACGATGGTTAAGATGAGTAGAGTGCAAAAGTTGCATTTGAGCCCTATAGGTAAATTAGATTGAAATTGTTCAGTTATAAATGATATATTCACAAGAAGGAATGCAATGAAAAGAATCTTAAGAAAAACAGAATAAGTTTGAGGGGTTTCGAATCAAGATAGTTTGGTTATTCCTTAAAATAACGCTGCGCAAATGACAGTTACAGCTCTAGCAGTGTATTCAAATGTCAATTTTACCAGCCAGAAGATGAGACAATTGGAAAAATATGTGTATAAAATAGTATATGCATAGATGGCATATCGTGCAAGTAAAAAGATGAAGCTGGTTGGTACTTCTAGGCGTCAGTAACAAGAATGTCGATATACATGTAGTGAGCAGAAGATGACTTCCAATACTATTTCGTTTAATTATTATGGACGAAACCACCTAAGAGAATAAAAAGTAGTCAAAAGAGTATTCCAAATAAAAAACATCTCCACTAAAATAACTTGGTCCAGAACAGTGAATGAACGAACTGGCAGGATTTAGAAATTCAGCCTAAAAAGTATACTAGCTTACCAGAGCTGCCAAGTAATGACATTTGTCCTGTAAGTCCAGTCGCTGAGGTTGCAAGTGGGGCTGCCCCTTCATTGCTATTAGCAATAGTGGGGGCAGAATTATAGCTCTGAGGTGGAAGAGTTCCTTGTGCCGTAGTATGGATTCCGGAAGACATTGCCAAAAAACCACCGGTAGCTACAGACGATGGCGGTGCCTTTGCAGAGGTTACAGTCTCTCCTGGGGTCATCAAGCCGACTGAATATGAATGAGGCGAGGGTGGTTGAGATTGAGACATTGAAGGAACCAATCCAGTTTTGCTTTGGTAGAAGTTGGCAGTTGAGGGCGAGGACAAGGGCAATCCAACGTGCTGTTCAGTTGTCATTGAAGAGTGCTGATGTTGTTGCTGTTGCTGTTGGAGCATTGGATGTGGTTGATTCCATGAAATACCAACTTGGTGGGGAACTTGGTAGCCCATCTGATGGTGCTGATGAAGCTGTTGATGTTGTTGTTGTGATTGTGGCTGTTGCACTCCTCCCAATTGATGGTTAGAAAGTAGACTGGAGCCTCTACCGGGACCAGCCTGTTGAGGGCCGGGTATAAAGCGTGAGGGCATTACAGATTGAACCTGGGATAGAGGCACGTTAGGAGTAGGCGGTAGACCTGGAGGTAGGGAAGCGCCCATCGCACCAACAGAGTCTTTAAACATGAAATAAGAAATAAGTTATAATGAATAAATAAAAACAATGTCAGAGTACGCTTAGCGAAAAATTCCTAAACGTGCGAAATGGAGATCAAACAAACTCTAAGCAGAATAAAAATGCAACCATGCCATAGGCAGCCCTATTTTGGTTCGCATAGCAACAAATAGGTATAATCATTTAAAACGGAGAAAATAAAAACACGTATTAATATTATAATAGACCAGAAAAATGACTATTTTGCATTAGTATTTTCTCTTAAACAATGGTTCTAGATGCCCTGCATATTCACTTTTAAAATTATTCAAGACTTTGATCAATTCGGGTTAAAAAGTTGTCAGTATCGAGTGATATAGTGAATAATATATGGCAAGCATCGACAGTTAATCAAACCTAGTAGTCATAGAGGACAATCAAACAAACCGTTGAGTGCATTATTGACAAAAAGTATGAAAATTCAACCCCCACTACCTAAGTGTAGACTTCTTGTCAACTTAGTTTAGATATGAAAGCTATACTCATAAAAACTACTCAACTAAGGTCGATTTAGGTGGCAGAAGTAATGTAAGTAAAGATTCCCACGATGAAATTACAAGGCCATGTGATGCCTTGTCTTCCAGAGGGTTTTCCTATTCCGATTATACTGCAATTCAGACTTCGCATGGGTCTCATCCGTCCCATCGACGAGATTCGAAACCAAGTCCTTTATGCCAGACAAAAACGTTACTATTCCGTTATAAAGCAGAAACGCCAGTGAGTCGTGATGGAGATTTGATGCTATCAATTCGCCTTTATTTTGGAGCCATTCTAGATAAGGTAAACCTGTACTTGCTGTTACCATTTACTATACCATCTGTATAAAGTTTCAAAAAAATAAAATTTCATATAATTTACTGGTACTCGGGCTATAAAACAGCGGTGACGTTAGAACTTGATGCGAACGACAAGGTTCAGAATCACTTAGATGAAGACGCCAGGCGATGCCTAAGCTCCTGTCAGCCTAAATTAGAAAGCTATTTAGGAAATCGGGCAGCATCAAGAGGCATTCGAATCATTTCATAATGGGAACTTGAACTATCAGCTCGTCTATAAGCTTAAAGAGTCTAAAATGACTCAAGTTCTTACAATAAATTTTCGCAACTCAATCAATAAAAAAGTTAATTTAACTCATCACTCCTTCCTCCATGTGCACTTCACTCCATAATTGCAAATTAGTTAAGGAATAGGATCAAAGACCATAGTTTACTTGAA